CAACTTGGTTTCTTGGAGTTCTAAAAAGCAACCAAGTGTTGCTCGGTCTAGCACTGAATCAGAATACAAAGGGGTGGCTAATGTAACCTTTGAATTATTGTGGCTATTACAACTCCTCCGAGATCTTCGATACACTCTCCATCGGTCACCCCTTGTTCTTTGTGACAATGTAGGGGCAATCTATCTAGCCGCAAATCCCATCTTCCATGCACGAACCAAGCACATGGAAATTGATTATCATTTTGTTCGTGATTTAATCAGCAAGAAGCAGTTGGAAGTTTGCTTCATTCCTACGTAGGTGCAAACCGCTGATATCATGACTAAACCTTTATCCATAATCTGATTTCTTATTTTACACAACAAGCTCACAGTAACTCCGCCACCATTTCACTTAAGAGGGTGTGATAGAGCAAATCTCCCATGATAGAGCAATCTTCTGCAATCTGTGCCAATCCCGTTGATAGAGCAAATCTTTTACAATATGTTGTAATACTATAGATTCTTACCTTTTGTAAAATCTTTTCAATTGTAATTCTCCAGCTCATGTACATACTATAAATATAATATAAATCTCCACGCCGATTTGTGTGCGATCAAATTCAGATTCATGCTCTTTCATTTATTGCCGATATATGGCCTACTCTACGTTGCTTGTGTTGACCCTTCTTGTTTTCTGGATATGGCTTTGTTTTGCAGTATTCTGGGCTTTGATTTGTTTCAATTTGCTCTACCATAGTCTATGTACTTCTCATGTATTCTTTTGTGTAATGAATACAATTTTTTTTCAATCAAAAGAAAATTAGGAATGATGGGTAATTGTAGTATGGTTTGCTAATTAATTTAGATAATGTCCAGGCTAGTTAAATTAACCGTCTCCAATTACAGATGAATGGGCCATACTAACAACGTCTGTTTTTGAGTTTTTTCAATTTTTAAGGTGGGAATTGTTCTGCCAAATTCAGAGTAAGCTTGGTGTGAATGACAAACCGTGACGTGCAGATAAAGAGACACTCAGAAACATATTGTCACATTGACCCCAAATTTGGCATCGGCCATTTTAATTAGAACATTACCAAATGACCGGAAATGAATACGTTGCTCAAAGATGATAATGCGCGAGCTTAAAGGCTGATGATTTCTCCCATGTCCATTTCTGCGCGACGGACTTATAACTTCCTTTATTATGCTTGAAGACAATCAGCTAATAGCTTAAATAAAATCATGACACCAAAAGTTATATTCTGATGTCTATTCAATCAATGAATATGTGGAAGGAACATGATGACAAGACTCTAAAAATTCATCAAAGCTAAGATTTTTGTTGTTCCTGTGGATCCCTCCCCAAACAGCAGCATTTAATCATAAGAAACAGGACTGCAACTAAAGTGGCGGTCACTTTTCTGCATAGCAAGCAACTAGAGAACTAATTAACTTTATTCATGTATCGGTGACCCAGGAACGGATCAATCACACAGGAGTCTACCCGTTATCGCCTCGCTCGAGCACGAGTCAACGAATGTCGTCGGTAGTGGTGGAAGAGAGAGATGTTGTGGAATGGTTTTTGTAAGGAGTGATGTAAGAGAAAACAGGCTGAAAGGAGAGGGAAAATTCGCATGGAAAACTTTCGTGAATGACACTATGCAAAAGAGAAAAGGATCAACAAAATTCGTCGATCAACAGCAGCATCGAGTAACGACTAACCGTGGGAGTCTCAACTTACCAGAGGGAACCGATCAAAACTCGTAACAAAAAATACATTCCAATCATCCCGATGATCCGAACAACGTTGAAGGACATTCCTCACCAAATCCAATGCATCCAAGATCAAACCACAAGGCAGTTGGACTCATTCGGGTCTTTTCTAACAGCTACTACTTACCTTTCGGAAAATGACATAAATGGTCTATGAATTTTGATTCAACGTGCAATATAGTTCCTGAACTTTAATTTGTTCAATGTGATCCATAAACTTCAACTCAATATGCAATGTGGTTCTTGAACTTTTAATTTATTCAATGTGGTCCTTAGACTTTTGATACATGTTCAACTCACTCCCTGAACTAGATGAAAATGTTCAATATTTTCCTTGAAATTGAATATTGGGTTAAAATTTAAGGACCATATTGAATAAATTAAAAGTTAAGGGAGCACATTGAACGAGTTTAGAGACTATTTATATTATTATCTCCCTATTCACGTTTGGACCGTTCAGATATTTTCGACCTATTCTTTAACTCATCTCGAGAAATTCGAGCGCACCCCCATTTAAACAGTGATAATGAGTAATGTCTGGTTTGAAAGGACAAAAAGATGATGAAAGAAAAGAGATGCCACCGATTGCTTTTAATGGATCATAAAGAGGCGGCTTGGCTTTGCATCGGTGGGTGGATGACCAACTTTAGCCTGTGATGTAGGGTCGTATCTGGTGTGCTGAGCTTCTTCAATGGCATCAAAAGTCCTTGTTGGTCCATCATTTCAATAATAAATGTTATTATACTTTGAAGGAACAGAGAACATGCTATATCTCCTTGCCTTGTTACTCTAATTTATTCATTTCATTTCATTTATTTACATTTTTTCTCGTCGAGGCAAAGGCAACCACCCGTTCGAAAGGATCCGAGGAGTGCCCCCACGCTAATCATCGAGTGCAATCGAAGGGATCTTAGCATAAATGTAGCTAACTCGATAACTTCCTGTTTTGATCGATAGTTTGAAAATGATGATCAATGGGAATATAGCAAGACGTTGCCCCTTGCATCTAGGTCTTGCATAATGCATCTTATCCACTTTTTTTTTTGAAAAAGAAGAACAGCCAACATCTTACTTTATGATGATTTGGGGAATAAAGGGACCCGAACCCTTTTGATTTAGTTATGTTAAATTTATCCGATTAGATCAATAACGCATCACTCGAGGAATGAAATGGGTGATTGAAATGCATTTCTCATGTGACGCTTCATGATTTTATAATATATAGTTATATTGGAATCGAGATAACGTCCACTAGTGGCACTTCACTTTGCCTTTATGATTGCCACATGGCGTCTGTTATGTGATCCACATTCGTTCGATAAGATTTTAGCTTCACGATTTTTCATTTGTCATTTTAATCTATTATGGGATTTAAATCTTAGAAAATAGATAACAGGAAAAGATTTTATCTCTTAATTGAGTTTATGCTTAACAAGAATAAAAATCAGAGAATATGATTTAAAATAAAATGATTATTGGAATCACGTTTGTAAAATCCCTATGAATTCAGCTAACTTGGCAGCTTGCTATCTAATTCCTCAACAAGTAATTTCCCAATCTTTAATTTTTTTTAGGGCATATTCTTTGCAGGTTCATGCAAGTTTAGAGGAAGGAATCTTCACAAACCAATAGTAAAAAAAATTTATAAAATTAAATCGCCAAAAGGGTGGGGCAAAGAAGTAATTAAAATAAGTGCATCTAAGGAAAAGGAAAAAGAAAAAGAAAAAAGAAAAAGAAACACTAGAAAAGTGCAGCATATGCCGTAATTCTCGGGGCCGTCGAAACTTTTGTCTTCTTTTCCAGGTCGCCCACCAACAACTCAATTCTTAATCACATGATTACTCCTAATTAAGCCTATGATTACAAATTATATAATCGATTATCCTATATCATGTCATCACTCGATACAATCGATTATTTTCCCCCGAGTAATAATAAATTAAAATCGAATTTTGTCGAATTTAGAGACACACGTTAGACCAAAATAGGGCTTCGCATAAAAATCGAAAAGAAATTTGCCAAATGATACTTCTTTGTCTCCCCTAAAAATTGGAAAAAAAATCAGTAAAGAATTTCACGAAAGTATTTTCAAAAATAGCATTGCCACATGCGTTTAGATATTCAACGATACATAAAACTCATTCACAAAGCTCAAGTACAATATGGACTAGCTGGTTTAGTCATCACAAAAAATTATTGCGTAACATATCATACAGTGCTATCATTACTATCATACTGAGAGACGCATGATTGTTGCAATGATTAATCTCGCGATCTATGTGTAACATGTTAAATAATATAATTGAATAGTTACGTATAATATCCAAATCTATTTACGTAGAAAAGGTGGTCGCGATTTCTTAGATGACAAATCCTATAACACTTCATATTTTTATAATAGAGCTAAGTGCAATCGAGTCTTAAAACTTTTAAAGAGTGCAATCAAGTCCCAAAACTCATCACGAAAGTGCAATCGAGACCTAAATCTTTCGAAAGGCGCATCGATAGAATGGCTTGATTCGATCGATTTGACAAGTTTTAGGACTCGATTTCACTCTCGTGACAGATTTCAAAACCTAATTGTTTTTCCCGAAAGCTTCAGGACCCGGTTGCACTCTCCCAACAAGTTTCGGGACTTATGATCTACATTTCCCTTCATAATAATACTACGACGATCTCTGCGGTCCGGTATTTATACAATATAAAAAAATATTAATCAAGCACATACCAAAATTTGGAAAAAAAAAAAGAAAAAGAAAGTAGAGGACTGTTCATTCGTAACTTCACATAAATAAAAAGAAAGAAACCGTCATTTAATTTCCAAGGAAATAAAAAAAAAAAAGGAGAGAGGGAAATATGCATTTGCGCTCCTGGTAATGTCCGTGAGCAGAGAGAGAGAGAGAGAGGAGAGAGGAGAGAGGAGAGAGAAGGAGGAGGAGACGCCTGGGGGAGATATTTCTCGTGCCTCCGCTCCTCCACCACCCCGCCCCGCCCACATTGGCTCCGTTCCGAGGTCAGTTCGTCGGACGATCCTTCTCCTGAATCCTCCGAATTCGAATTCGGATTCTCCATTTCGATTCCTTTTCTTTCCGGGGGAGTTCTTCTGGTGATCCGATGTTGTTGATGAGTGATGATGATCAGCTCTGTTGATCAATGCCGTGCGATGACTTTTGGGATTCTTTTTCTTTCTTTCTTTCTTTTTGGCTCGGTATCTCTTTGTGGTGTTTCTGATGAAGCTCACTGCGTTCAATCTTCGTTTCGTCCGGGCGGTATCGGATCGCGATCTCGCCCCAATTGAATTGGATTGAATTGAATTGAGTTTATTTGCCCAGGATTGCGGTTTTCTCCCGTGTATTGCTAGGTGCGCGCGCTGTGTTATTTTTTATTTTTTAATTTTATTATATTTTTTGGTGTCTTTTGGGTGAATTGTAGTTTTTTCGTTCTGGTTAATTGAATTTCTACTCTGATTCTTTGCTTCCTTGGCTGTTCATCTGCTGATTTCGCGCGGTTTGGTCGAAGTTTCCTTCTGTTCGAGTTTCGACCCAATTGTGAAACGTTTGAAGTCGTTGATTGCTTGTTGTTTCTTGAAGGTCTTGCTAGTCGTCGAAGTTTTCCGTGTCTGTGAGGATTGGGAAGTCTTTTTTTGGTAAAAAATTGATATGGGGCTTGGATTGTGCCGGGGCTGTTGATGGTCGTGCGCAAATTGTTGATGGAACCGTTTGGTTTTTTCCAGGGGGTGGGGTTGAATTCGATTAGAGAATGGGGGTCGTGTCGAGGCGGGTTGTGCCTGTCTGCGGTAACCTCTGTTTCATGTGTCCTTCAATGCGCGCGAGGTCTAGGCAGCCGGTCAAACGGTACAAGAAGTTGCTCGCTGAAATCTTCCCCAAAAGTCAGGTGATTTTTCATTTGGGTTACAGAACTTAAATTCTGGATGAATATCATCAAAGATTCTGTCACTTCATTCCGAATTCAGAGCTTTGACTGCTCTGCTTCAGTTGAAACCTGGAATATAATTCCTATATGAAAGCTAAAACTTATCTTAATGCTGATGATTATTGATTTCTTCCATTTAGGCCTATGCAGTAGAGTCTGATTTTCGTTTGGAGTCTTAGCTTTCTTCCCACGTAATTGTTTTTTGTTTCCGGCAGGAGACTGAACCTAATGACAGAAAAATTGGGAAGCTGTGTGAGTATGCCTCGAAGAATCCATTAAGAATTCCTAAGGTAAGTGTACCAAGTTTCACACCAAAAGAATAATTATTATTTGCTCACAACGACATCCACCATTTTAGTAGTTCATGTTTCAGTGGAGAAACAGGCTCCGTTTTTCCCTCTCAAGCTTAAACAAGCCCACATGTTTAGTGTCTCGAGTGATTATATGTTCCATTTTACTAATTTTGGTTCAGTTATGCTTGCATACCTGTACCTTGTGCACTTCCCACTAGCGTACAACGGTGGGAGGAGTCAAAATGTTCCTTTCCCAAGTCTTACATAGTGACTGGAGTGTTAAACATGTGTTTTCATATACTTTTTCTGCACAGATTACCAATTACTTAGAGCAACGGTGTTACAAGGATCTTCGGAATGAGAATTACGGATCTGTTAAAGTTGTCTTGTGCATTTACAGAAAACTGCTGTCATCATGTAAGGAGCAAATGTAAGTTTCATGTACTTCAGTGCTGCATTTGATTACTAAATGATTGAAGCAGGGATTTTAAGTTGAGGTCATACTGCCTATGAGTGGTTCTTCTTCTTCTTCTTCAATTACGTCTTGGGAAGGCGGAGAAATTGGTCTGACAGATCACGCTCATGAGCAATTATGGGCCTGTAGGCAGAATGTAACAAATTGTCATAATGTTTTGCAGGTCATTGTTTGCTGGTAGCTTATTGGGAATTGTTCGAACATTGCTGGAACAAACGCAGCTGGACGAACTGCGGATTTTAGGTTGCATCACTCTTGTTGACTTTATGAACAGCCAAGTAAGCACTTACATCATCATGGTAGATTATACTAGCATCGCAGTTATGCCACCTTTCTTTTGGACTTATGTGTCCTGAGGATGATCTATTTCGTCATCAATGAATATTTTGTCTACTAGGAGTAAAAGGTATGAGAAAAAGGGGAAATTAAACAATTGAAAATAAAGAGGGAAAAAAAAGAGAAATATGGAGAGGAGCTGGCCTCATTTTTCCTCGTAACATGTGTCAAGTTACTTGTGAGATGCTTTTGAGTCTTCTATGGATGATTTTTCTTCTTAAGCTGTTATTTTTTTCAACTTTTCGGTATATTTAACTCCATGCCAAAGTCTTATTGGTTCAAAATTCATATAGGTTGACAGCACGTACATGTTCAACTTAGAGGGTGTTATCCCAAAGCTTTGTCAAATGGCTGAAGAAGTAGGGGATGATGAAAGAATTCTTCCTTTACGCTCTTCTGGGATGCAGGCTCTGGCATGCATGGTAATAATTCCATGCCCAGCTGATTTCCTTTTCTATACGAAAAAAATGAAAGCATGATGCTTGCGTATGTTACATCATGTTTACACTTAATCCGTTGCAACCTTTGAAAAGCACATGATTAGCATGTCTTTGGCCTTCTCTACCATGTTTATTTTGACACTATTTAGTTTGTAGCCAGGAACTTAAGTCATTGTTAAAAAAATTAGCCAAATATAAAATGACTCCAAACATGACAAATGTTAATAGCAATATGAAAGCTTGTGAAAGCTTGTAACTGCGTCTTCTCCCTGGAGAGCATGGTCTAGTCCAGCAGTAGCTAGATTTCTCTTTTCCACTTGCTGTCTCTTTGTTGCCACTTGATCATGAATTGATAGTGCTTCTAGATGTTGAATTTGTAAATCATTGTCCATCTTTTCTCTGTAGTGCAGGCTGTCATCTAGATGATGAATCCTATCTTAATTATGTGCACGGATCTAATGACAATGTTGTTGAGCTCATGTAGAATGTTACATCTCCTGGTTCAATCTTTTACTTGCTTCGTCACTTTGTCTTGGTTGCTTGGCTTTTAAGACTGATGCGTCACTTTTTTCTTTATCTCATCCTAGGTGTTGTTCATGGGAGAACATTCCCATATCTCTATGGACTTTGACAAGGTGAGTCATCCTTTTGTAAGATGCACACTAGAATACATAGTCAAAAGCTATATGCATGCTTGGAGATCTGATGTTCACCTTGAATGTGAAAGGCAGACATATTAGCGAATTTGATGACTGACTGACTCAGTCCAAGTCTTTATATTCAATCTCTGTAACGGTGATGTATTCATTATGGAACAGATTATGTTAGTGATGCTGGAAAACTATGCATATCTACAAATGAACTTGGAGTATGCCAAGGAAAAGCCAGATTCTCTACCTCAGCAACAATGGCTTCAAGAAGAGCTTAAAGCAGATCGAGGCTCGTCAATTCAAGATATAAGTGACAAGGTTATTTCCTTTCCAATCCGCTTGACCAGTCCTGGCATGGATAAGACAATGTAAGGCACCCTCTTTATTTTGTTATTGATTCTAATATAGGTTTTTGTATTATCCAGGCAATCAATGATTCTTTTGCTGCTTTGCTTACAGAGATGCCTCGAAGAGCCCATCTTACTGGTCAAGGGTTTGCTTACAGAATATAGCCAGCTTGACAAAAGAGACTGCGACCGTGCGACGTGTTCTTGAGCCCCTTTTTCATATTTTTGATACTGAAAATCATTGGTCCATGGAGAAAGGACTTGCCTGTTCTGTATTGATGTACTTGCAGGCGCTTCTGGAAGAAAAAGGTTGAGAATTTACTAATTTTTCCTCTTTAAGTTGTACTTTTTTCTGAATACTGTCAAAGATGGTAAATTAGTAGCATTTTCGGTTCTTCTGCAGGGGGCAATGCTAACGTACTTTTATCTATTTTGATCAAGCACTTGGATCATAAAAATGTTTCTGGGAAACCCTCACTGCAGATAGACGTTGTTCATGTGACCACGCAACTAGCACGTAATGCTAAACGGCAGAGTTCAGTTACTATAATTGGGGCGATTACTGATTTAATTAAGCAACTGAAGAAGTGCTTGCAGAACTTATCTGAAGGATTAACCCCTGGAGATGGTTTACATAAGAGGAACGCCGATCTTCAGTCTGCCCTGGAGAGTTGCATCTCTGAGCTTTCTAAGAAGGCATGTACAACTATTAACTTTTGCTTCATATCTCTATGAAGATTGCAATGCTAAGAAGGTGAAGTTAATTATATAGCATGGTTCTAACATAGATGGTTCAAGCAAACAAACATAATAAAGTCATCACTACCTTCCTTTCTTAAATTTAGCTCATCTTTGTAGTTCCAATTGTCATTGTTGTCCTGACCTTTATTTCAGAAACAAAGATAGAACTCTCACTTGTCACATTTATCAATTGCAAAAATTATGGCTACACTACTGGCGGTTCTTCTCACCTGTTCATGCTAAGATATCTTTAAATCCTGGACTCCTTGTTGTCAGAATGGTTGCAGAAACACAAATACAGCTACTTACATTACTAGTAATTTTAAAAAGCTTTCAGCATCTACAGGTCTTGGTCATTACTTGAGTTGATAGCTTAAGATCTTAATGACAATTCTGCTAGGGCACTGTACTTCAGCTCATGGATTAAAGAAAAGCAACTTATGGTCTCTTTTTCATCTCTTTTTCCTGTCAAACTATGCCAGTCATTTATCCGCAAAGAATAGAGTTTTCGCACTGTACAGTCTTGCACCGACGAGCTTAATTTTCGCTTCAATCTCCTTATATTTCGATTGGGTCAATGCTTGAGATGGCCACAAAAGAAGATTTCAGTCAATCCTTGCTATTTTATGTTCTTAACGAGGATCCTACTGTGCCATAACTTGATTATATATTTCTGATGTTACTTAGTTGCTGTTGCCATCGTCTTGTTGGAGTTGCATTGTTGAATGTGCGGACACTCAGGAAAGGACAGTATTAGATATGAGAACATTTGAAAAAAAAGTTGGCATGGCGTCAATTGAGGATAAGATGAAGAAACTCATTTAAGATGGTTTAAATATGTGAAAATATGGACTTAGAGGCCAGAATGAGAATAATGGATGTAATGATAGAGATGTATGGTCAAGGAGCAGGGGAAGGCTGAAAACGCATGGGTATATCATGGTTACCAGGATGTTACAAATGCTATAATACAAGAAAGAGTGCAATTGTGTAAGAAATTTATGTAAATGACTACACTTAGTTGGAAAAGGCTTAGTTGTTGTTGCCATTGTTGAAGGGAAGTACTTTCTAAGTTCAGTTTCTTGTGCAAATGTCTTATTGCTATGCTTTTTCTATCTTATCGTAAAAATGAAGCTGGCTATTGTCAGGTTGGTGACATAGGACCCATTCTGGATATGCTGGCTGTGGTGTTAGAGAGTCTCCCACCTACTACACTGGTGGCCAGATCAACCATTTATGCTGTTTACCGCACTGCGCGGGTCATCTCTTCAATCCCTAGTTTGTCTAATGATAAGAAGGCAAGTATAGTAATCGCCATATGCTGCTTCATAGTGCTTGTGCAAATGCTTTCTTATGCTAACTTTGCATGTTTGACCCTTCCAGGCTTTCCCTGATTCTCTGTTTCATCAACTGCTGGTCGCAATGGTCCATCCAGACCATCAAGCGAGAATTGGAGCACACTCTATTCTCTCTACTGTGCTTATGCCGTCACTAGTTTGCCCTCTGTCAGACCAGAGGAACCATGTGCAGACCTTAAAGGCACGGAAAATAAGTTTCAGTAATCAGGATGAAGGGAAAGACTCAGTGGTGCCATCAACTGTCTCGAAGGAGGAAGTCGACCAGATGTTGGATGGGGATGATAAACAATCACCCTTTTCTGGAACTCTTTGCCAATCTAATAGTTTGAAGCTTGCATTAACAGATGGAAAAGCGGTATGAAACTTTCATGGTTTTAGCTTTTCATTACTAGCTGCATCTGCAAATAAATATCCTAGATAGTTGCCTGTACTTACTAGGGAAAAATGGTTTTTTTTTTTGACAATTTTGGATAGGATGTTACTTCCCTTCGATTGAGCAGTCACCAAGTCAGCCTATTGCTTTCATCAATCTGGGTTCAGGCAACATCTGCAGAAAACTCACCAGCAAATTTTGAAGCAATGGCACATACTTACAACATCGCGTTATTGTTTACTCGTTCCAAGGTGAGCTCTGGGATGCGCTGCATCTGCTCTTTGTTCCTTTTCATTCTTTTAACATCATTCAGGAACAGTCTAAAAACCATCAACTATCTTTCAGAACTCTTGTTATCGTCCTTTTGTAAATTAAATTACTTGATGAAGTAGCATTTTCCTGTGTGGACATCCTTTCTCGGGGCCTATTATCGACATTTTGAAGAAATGGTGATTAAGATGTATAATCTTCAACTAGCTATGTATGCTAAGGAAAAAAGCTTCTTAAAAGGCCCCTATGTGAGTGCATATTTTTTGGTGTTTGGTACATGAGTAAATATGGAATATTAGGTTGGGTGTGCACATTTCGGAAGATAGATGTGAAGGCTGTTTATTAGAAGTACTGTTTAAGTAACTTTCTGTTTATTGTCTTGACAGTCTTCCAGTCATATGGCTCTAGTAAGATGCTTCCAGCTGGCATTGTCCCTTAGAAGCATTTCTCTTGACCGAGAAGGTAAGTGACTTTTCTATGTTTCCTTCTTTTTTCAATCTTTATGTTTTTTATTCTTTTGCAATATATATGCGCATATTGCCATGTGATCGAATAGAAATTTCACAGGTCATGGGAGATGCTTGATGAGCGTAAATTGTTTATTCATACGTTATAATTCCAATGAAATTAACATCACTTGAAGCAGTGCAATATCTAAAAGAAAAACCAAAGAATATACGTGATGTCATGAACGATGTCTTAATAATTATGCATTTCCCTCTTCCGATCTCTCTGTGATGTATCTGAAATTACGGGCAGTTTTTTTTTATTTCTTTGGTCATCAATCACTGGGGCTACATTCAATTAGGTGACGTTTCTAGTATTCCTGAAAAAAGTAGCAGAATTTTAAGGTAGCAAGCCTCACAGCACATGGATTGAGGCCCCGTTTGGTTCAGCATTTGGAATGCTCATTTGGGCTCTAAAGTCTCTTGGCCAAATGCAAATGGTGTTTGGCAATTTTTTTTACTCACTTTGGGGAGATGCAATTGCATTTGGAATGCTCTCCAAGGGACTTTTGGCCAATGCAAGGGTGGAGGTGCGTTGGGCCCGTTTGGTTTGACTTTGGGGGAATGCAAATACCTTTGGGCTAAAGGAGTTTTCCGAAATGCAAGTAGTGTTTGGTAAGTGTTTTTTAAAATCAATTTGGGCTAAAGGACTTTTGCTAATATTTAAAAAAAAAAAAAAAAAGCTCCAGTGGAGCTAAACCACCAGCCACCGCCACCAGCCAGATCTGGTCGCCAGCCAACCGCCGACGGCCAGATTTGGTCGCCGGCCACCGCCGCCTGGGGTCGCGTGACCCCGACGACTGCCGCCTGGGGTCGCCGGACCTCGGGCATCGCCTGGGTCGCGCGACCCAGGCGATGCCCGAGGTCCGGCGACCCCAGGCGGCGGTCACCGGGGTCGCACGACCCTCGGGCGATCGTCGCCTGGGGGTCGCGCGACCCCGGCGACCGCCGCCTGAGGGTCGCATGACCCCCAGGCGGTGGTCGCCGGGGTCGGGCTAGCCCTCAGGCGGCAGTCGCCGGCCGCCGGCCGCCGGACCTCGTTTGGAGAAGATGAACAGTACAAGTTGCATTCCGAAAATGCAACTTTCCAAAGCACCTCCACCTTTGCATTGGCCAAAAGTCCCTCGGAGAGCATTCCAAATGCAATTGTCTATCCCCAAAGTGAGTAAAAAAATTGCCAAATACCATTTGCATTTAGCCAAAGGTTTTTAGAGCCCAAATGAGCATTCCAAATGTTGAACCAAACGGTGCCTTTGGGAAGTTGTATTTTCGGAATGCAACTTGTACTGATCATCGCCACTGTTCATCTTCTCCAAACCGAGGTCCGGCGACCGCCACCTGAGGGCTAGCCCGACCCCGGCGACCACCGCCTGGGGGTCGCACGACCCCCAAGTGGTGGTCGCCTGAGGATCGCGCAACCCTGGCGACCGCCGCCTGGGGTTGCCGGACCTCGGGCGTCGCCTGGGTCGTGCGACCTAGGCAACGGTTTGCCTGGGTCGCGCGACCTAGGCAACAGTTTGCCTGGGTCGCGCGACCCAGGCTGCAGTCGCCGGCGACCAGATCTGGCTGGCGGCAGTGGCTGGTGGTTTAGCTCCACCGGAGTTTTTTTTTTTTTTTAAATATTAGCAAAAGTCCTTTAGCCCAAGTTGATTTAAAAAACACTTACCAAACACTACTTGCATTTCGGAAAATCCCTTTAGCCCAAAGATATTTGCATTCCCCCAAAGTCGAACCAAACGGGCCCTGAGTGTGGTGCCAGCATTCCTATGCATGATTTAAAGAAGTGCGAAGAAAAATTTTGTGATCTGTATGAAAGTTTAATAATTTCAATGATCAGATTCAGTTAATATTAAAGTAATTGTCTGACTCTGTCATTTTCCCTAATTGCTACTAGAATTTGCATCTTTATTTTTGAAAGAGTTATTGCTATTGTAAGGCATACTCTTTATTATCAGAACATCATTTTCTTAATGTCTCTGTTCTGGTTGATACAGTAATCAGGCAGGTTTGTGTTAAGCTTGATTAAGTCTGTTTAAACTGCTTCTTTTTCTTCCATGAGATCAATTGTTATCATGTCAGATCGACTGCATTTGGCACTGTGGTTTGTGGAATTGTGAAAACAGAAGAACAAATGTTGAGTATTAAGGATTTTAACTAACGGTGTTATTTCCTTGAAGGAGGTTTGCAACCGTCTCAAAGAAGATCTCTTTTTACCTTGGCATCGTACATGCTTATATTCTCAGCCAGGGCCGGCAATTTTCCGGACATTATCCCTCATGTGAAAGCATCATTAACGGATAGAACGGTTAGTCCCCATACCTCCCTATCTCTTTCTCGGACACATTCATGTGGATAATTAAATGAACCATGCTCAATATTGCTTTCTACTTCTATTATTATATAATATCATTGTCATAAGAAAAATTGCAATTATTTCTATTGGGCAGATTGATCCATACCTTGAGTTAATAGAAGATATCAGGCTACAGGCTGTATGTATAGATTCTAACTTGGAGAAGATATCGTATGGATCAGAACAAGATGAAGCTGCTGCGGTGAAGTCACTGTTGGAGATAAGCTCAGATGATCAGCAGTTAAAAGAAATTGTTCTTTCGCATTTGATTACTAAATGTGGGAATTTGTCCGAGGTAATAATTGAGTCTTTTTTAGTAGCTTAGTGTTAGCCCACATAAACTAATGCCTAGAGAAGAATTAGCATCAAAGCAAAAAGATCATTTGGGAAAGCACACCTTCAAAGAAAAAGTGAGGAAGAATGTTATGCCATTAAATGACAATGCTTATTAGAAAGGTCCAGGAAGAATTAAGCAGCATTTGAAAAGCAACTAAGCATTTTCAGACTGTGGATTAGGACACAGATATTGGTAATCTACTGTAGGGAGTGCAATTAACAAAAGTAATATTGCCTTCCTCCTCTAAGTGGAACTGAAAACACGTGTGCTCTTGTGCTCTTGCATTTGATATGATGCATACTCCATATGACCACTGTATTTGAGGTCTTTCTCCAGAGTTGGGAACCATGTCCTTTTATGTCTTACCACCCTACTAATTATGCGCCCCTGTAAACATACATCTTCTTACAGGGGCTTGCATTAGAGAACTCAATCAAAGACTCATCTGCTGTGTACCAATTGTTGCCCTCATTTATGCTTGCATGCCTGCATTCTTTACCTGTATATCCTACAGAGCTAGAAATTTCTCCCGAATATGGTGTCAGTAACATCTAGTTTTGACATCATTGCATAGATTTCTGCTCTGAAGTTATTTGTCACCAATTTTAGAGGAGAAAAAGTGGTTAAATGAGTTGAGATTGCATTTGGGAATCACAGGGTGTACGGCAATGCTGAATATGTCTTGCTCTCTGTATTAATTATATTTGTTGACTCATATTGTAATGGATCTGGAGTTCGCTTTGAATTAAATTACTTCGGTTGGATTTGAAGTGGATCCCTTGGTTGTTTGTCCTGCAAAAAGTTAACTCTGTTGATTTTGTGTATGTTTTTCCCCTGGCTGATTCAAGCATAACTTTCTTTTAACATTGGTTGCACTCTCCTAGTCGATACTTGAACCCACATGTGCAACTTGACAGTCTCTGCTCATTGTCGTGTTAATATTACTGGATGCCGTCATTCTGTGCTATATACAACAGTCTTCTGTCAAGTTATTATGTTATCAAATGTGGGAATATGATGTGGCTTGCTGCTTTATAGATATGTTGTTAATAGATGGGATTAGGATGAGACTTGAACCCTGGGGAAATGATGAGGGCACTGGTAGTCTGGAACTGGTTAAATTTTCAACTCAAAGCTCCCTGGGTATGTGTAGAAATGAATGAGTCAGTAGTTGTAGTGGTCTCGTTTTTCCTCTTCAAGATTTGCCCTCAAATCTATGCTTTCTTCATGCAGGAAGAATTATCAGACTTGAAAAAGCAATTTCTAGAACCATTTTCACCCGACGAAGCTTATCCTTTGGGAGCTCCACTATTTATGGAGACACCTAGGCCATGTTCTCCTCTTGCCCAAGTGGATTCTCAAGCTTTTGATGAAGTAAGAAATGCAATGATTAAAATTATTTTCTGGTGCCATTCTTAATACGGGATCTGTATTTGGTTTAAATTCTATCTAGGCCGTGCCTTTAGTCGACATGACAGACGATGATGCCTTCCTTGAACCAAGTGGGAGTCAGTCGGATCGCAAGACATCACTCTCTAGCCACACGGTCGACATTATTAATGTCAATCAGCTCTTGGCATCTGTAAGATTTAATCCTGTACATCTGGACTTTTTCATGTGCTTAAATACATGTGCAATTGGCTCTTGGGGACTGGCAACCTAGCTGTACCCTTAGCCTCCAGGTTTTCGACGAAGTTCATTTCACCCATTTTTGACAAATTTGATACGTCTCCAGTTATCTCCATTGCTTATTATTTTGTTTATTTCTGTAATTCAATAATGGTGCATAACAGCCCTAGCTAAGTGACTTGTGGGAGGACTAATTCTTACCCGTCCTAGATGTTGTGTTGTTGAGCACTGTTGACATTTCCTCCTGCTAGTTATGGATGGCAAGTACTTTTATTCGTTGGAGAATATGATACAGCAGAAGGGGAGGTTTTTTGAAAGTTTGTGCAGTACTTTAATTGAAGACTCAAGGAACCTTGATCTTTCATGTGCTATGAATATGGACAATCTCCCTTTTAATTACCATAAAATTGACTGTTTTACGGCATATCTTTACCAGTGGTTTAATGGAGGATCTGTTTGTGACATTTGGTGTCGTTCCTCTCTCAGACTTGACGTCTCCCGCCCTTTCTGAAGGCTGAATTGATTAGTAATTCTAGAGAACAATCTGCAGGATGCTTAGTTTAGGAACTCTGAATTTGATTAGTTTTGATGATTGGTAGAAATTAGATCCCATATATGGTAAATAGCCTACAGAGGCAGAAATCGGATGGATAAAATTAATGAAAGCTGATTGATGAACTTCATCTGCAGATTGGATAGCATAACGGTGAATAAGCTTAATGAAAAACTAACTATACTCCATGATGCACCATTCCAGACTTGTTAATATTATAGTATGGGAAACTGAACAGGGTGGCTGAACTGGCAAAATTGAACATCATTGAAGAATGGTTTTTCATGCAATTTGTGGGACGTATGTTTGAGTGAATGGAGAAGGTATCTAAGCTGTTTTGAGAAAACCGTCAAGTTCATGAATTAAATGATCCTGTTAATGATGTTTAACTGGTCATTTAGGAGAAGATAGATAGCGGTGGTGGACATTGCAGAGCTTGACGCTATCAACTCTTATTAGGAAGCCCTTCTTAAGACATTTGAATTTATAACTTCTTGATGCACTCGTTGTTTCCTATGTCATTTTTGTTCTTTTAATGCAGTAATCAGTCTAAGTTTCCTATCTGTAAATCTCTCATGAAGGAATTAAATAGGCTCTCTTCTCATGGTTCTAAAATTGTTGACAGGTTCTGGAAACAGCTAGACAGGTTGCAAGCTTGCCAGTTTCCTCAGCACCCATACCATATGACCAAATGAAGAATCAATGTGAAGCTCTTGTAACAGGCAAGCAGCAGAAGATGTCGGTTCTACATAGTTTCAAGAATCAGCAGGAATCGAAGGCTATAGTTGTGTCGGGTGAAAATGAAAAACTGGCCCCTCCTTTCCCAATTCCAAGCTTGGTAAGTACGTTTACTTTGTAAGGAGGATACCATTATCATTTAGTACCCCATCTGGTGGGTTATATAATTGAAACACTATTAACCTTGCAAAGGTCTCTGTTACGCTTACATCTTAAATGAACCTAATATGTTCCCATTGTATATGTGGCTTCTGTGCGCTTGGTTCTATTTAAGTCAAGAAGCATTTTTTTGTTTCCATTACGTAAAATAACTTGGGACGCTTTGGTGTAGATGACTAGGTGAGAGAAATTTGACATGGAAGGATTCGACTTTCTCTCTTCCTGAGAAACCGTCATTAACATTATATACGCGCTTGGCTTTTCTTACAGGATATAGAGCTTTTGGAAGGGGATGGGAAGTTGCATGAGAGAGACCAATTGCGACATCAGGATCAGCGTCAGCTCTGTTCACGTGATTATGTACCGCATTCTTTCAGATTACCGCCATCGAGCCCGTACGACAAATTCTTGAAAGCTGCTGGATGCTGAATAGTTTAGGCATGCTTTTACACGTATATAGCTTTGTTTCTCGAGTCTGTTCTCTCCAACGGTCCCATATTCTTTTCATTCTTTCGAGTCTTCCGCCAACGCAGCTGTGTATTCTATTTTTTTCCTTCTCTTTTGGTATGATGCTGTTGTCTACCTACCGTGTCCAAATGGCTGGAAAGACAGGAACGGATCGTAATAGTAAATAGCTGAGAGTAATGTGTCAACAATCGTTCTCTGTAGTGTAAGTCATTTGAATGTATGAATAATGTTCATTTAGATTTTATTTGCCTCTTATTTGTTTCGCACGGATGGGGAAGCTGCAGTTTTTTGAATACCAGTTGACATTTGTATAATGATTGGCTTGATAAAATGAAATTCTAGCAAATTGTAAGTTATATGCCGACGGTGGTAAATAAACCACCTCGATGATCCAATAGTAAAATTCCAATTTTCCTGTTGCGTGTTACATGGCTGTTGATGTGTGACTGACGATTACTACGTAGTTCTGGAAATATCACATCGTTTCTTATGGCAAAGTTCTTCACACGGGAGCGACAGAACTTCGAGTTTAGACCTTGAGACAACTTGAGGTATCCATTAGGGTTTTCGGCCAAATCGAATTCCCGATCTAATTTGCGAATACTGGAAAACAAGGAAAGATGCTTTACATGTCATAGATTTGATCATTTAATACCCACTCAAGTAGGTCTTTGTCTCTGACCAAAAAAAAAAAAAAAGTAGGTCTTTGTCAGTTCATGTTATATCTCACCAAAAATGTCGAGCTTCGGACGGGTAATGCAAGCCAATTTACATCGGTTGCTTGAATGACCCTGCTTGCTTCATTTTAAAGATGTCTAACCATGACTGGAACTGTCTCCTAGATTCTTCCTTGCCAAAATCCTGAATGGGAAAATGACAAGGAAGACCGAATATCATTTGAGAATAACCTCGCTGTGTACAGAGGAAAAGGCAAGAAGTCATAATATCAGTCAGGTTCCATCAATATATACCAGGACCGTGGAGATTAGACTAAACTATGCTAATACGACACCAGACAAGGTTAGAGGTCTTTAAGCCTCATCATTTAGAGGTTCCACGATTCTTCACAAGCAAAAGCCCTATCGACGTCGGCCAAAAGGCTCACCGGTTGTTAGGTTCACCAACCCACAGGATGGGTTACAAAAGCCACATGCCCCGAACTCTACAGGACCAGCATATATACACGTGAAAGGCAAAATGCAGAATTCAGATGAGTAGCTGAGTATGATTCAGCTTCTACCCCTTGCTTGCGGTGCTTTTCAATAAGACCAGCATGTTGGCTGCAGCCAATTCTCTGGCTCCTTGAGGAGTGGAGCGAGGGTCTCCATCAGTCGAACACTCGAAACCTGAGCCTTTGACAGTCACTTTAGCGACAAACCCACCTTTTAGAAGAAGTGCAGGTCCACATTAGCCAGCTGCTTGGCGCATCACGAATGAACATGCATAATATACCCGGACTGAAAATTTCTACCAACAAAAACTCATCTCAACGGAGTAGGTAGGAGCATCGTAAGGGAGATCTAGTTTTCACACGACCTCAATGGAGGATCATATTTTTCTACACATGCCCCGAAGACTCATGAGACAGCATAACACCTCATCAGAAATTAATCAAGTTCTGCAACCATTCACTTTTCATCGTTTCGGCAGAACACGACATTCCATCACATGTTAAAGATGTTCAAGCAAATGATAAAATAGCTGCAATCCTACTACGGCCATCTCTATGGGATAAGTATACCAGCCAAACTAGTACCCAAGCTACCGACAAGAATTTGTTTTCACTGAACAAACTTCAGATAAGCAGGGAAAAATTCCCTAGTTTCAAAGTATTAGGAGCAAACCATGGTGTCTTCGAAGAAATAACCAAAGCAGGAAGAAACTTAAGGACAGTCAATTTGCAGGGCATTTCTAAATGTAAGTCAAATCATTATATTTGCAAGTCACAACCATCTCTGGAGTTCATAACTGTCCCAGACTGTTCTGACATCATGGACAAGCAAACCTATGTATACTAGGAAAACAGTACACACTTTCAAGTTTCACATTCAGAATTCTAAGCATTGCAGAAATAACCACCGTACACAAGGGAAAATTCCATTCATAGTGTCAACGATGCCATGAAGAGTGAAAATTTCTCGCATTCCAAAAAAGACACTATATTCCAAATATCTTACCATCAGTAACAGAAATTTGATAAGTTGGTAAAATCCAAGTGTTCTCATCACATATTTCATCCAACTCCTGCAGAAAAAATGTTAAAAAGCATACGTTGGCAGAGAAGAGAGAGCATAAATTTCTAATTGCAGTTCCAGAGAGTGTTCTTACAAACAGCATTCTTGTTGAACTTTTCTTCACAAATGAAATGCGTTTGCAAGAAAATAGCAAATGAAAACTATTTTACCATCAATTTCTATGAAAATGGAAACATAATGACAAATTAAATAGTAATTCAATCTCTAGTTATATAAGTGAACAATTTTCCTTGTTTTAACTTGAAAACCATTTTCAAAATGCGCCAGGACCTAATCAGTTTTGATGTGTTTCCATTTTCAGTGGAAAATGAGAACTATAAAGTTTTCACACACCAAACATGGCCTATGCTTTCAGTTATTAGCACTTGAGAACTTTCTCTTGCAATTTATGCCGTCTGTCTGTTTTAAAAGGATGGTAATATCAGAAAAATTAATTTTGTTGACCTCGTCTATAAAGGTTATGCCATCTTACTAGAGGTGCAATAAGAATAAAACAGGAAAAGATACTGAAAAAAGAACAAGAAAGGAAAAGGAAAAAAATGCAACTCTTCATGGTGGGAACTTACTTGACATGGACTTTGTCTGTAGATAACAGCCTCTGACAACTTTATATCGGTACAATGGGGTAAAGGTTGGCCTTCAAGATGGGCATTTGTCCTTTCATGAGCAGTAGTTTTCAGGCACGAATAATTACAACCATCAATTATGGAGTCTATCTTCAGCGCCAAGGCATCTGCTCCACCTATGACAAGATGAAAAAGATGGAGCTATCCTAAAGAACTATCCATACCAAATCAAATTATCAGTCACAAATTGCTAAATGATAGGTCTACAGACAATCCCCACTTTACGTATAACTTATAACCAACTTCCCATTACAAATAGTAATCATACAAATAATGGCCATCCTTCTGAGGGATCAAACGCATCAGAGAATGATGACGATGACAGAATACACAGAAACACATAGAAATCAACAAAAAGCAATTAGTCAACCCATATATGTAACAGAACATCCGATGAACATCCATCCTTTTCACTAGAAAGTAGGAGTCTCCAAAACATTCAACTGCCTTGACAAGCAAACGAAAACTTGTAACTACCGCATAACATAACCAGCGGTAGTGTAGCCAGCAATCTTTCAATCTATAGCTTCATTTCTCTACAAAGTACAAATACAGAATCATTAGAAAGACATCAAGAAATTGCCTCTCCTGAATCAAAAACAGCTTAAGTGAATTTTATCTTTTCGTTAAGGCTAACTAATGACAGGCTGATGGCTCAAATCAGCTGCATCTAGAATAATTTAGAATCACATAGCAGTGTTCATCTTGCGACACAAGCTTATCCTCAATGTCTACCATCAAAGCTCATCAAAATAAATATCAACATAAACAATTTCAATCATGGAAAATTGGCTTTTTAAGGCAAATCCACGAACACAGTCATACCATTCATAATTGTATGGATACACTTGTCACACTTTGCAATCTCATCTTCTATATTTCGCAGCTGAAGGGACTGCAAGAAAGTAAAATGTTGAACGGAACATGAGTATTCCGAGTAATAAGGAATTGTTACCGTCAGTTACACAAGAAAGACTTAATACGGAGCCAACCAGTAATGTCTATAAAGATGCAAAGGGATCATTCACCTTCTGGATCATTTGCTTATATAAAATGCTAAAAGATAACTTCCTAATCAGAAAACTTAAAAAGGATGTATTATGGTGAAACCAAACTGATAAGCTTCAAAAACTGCTGAGCTGCTGCATCAGGCTACCACTCAAATATTAGCAGTATGAAACATTAAAAAGCGCTGTGGACCATATTCACAGGAAAAGAGAAGTACCAGTTTAGCCCTTTTCTGGAGACAAACTCTTAAAGCAGTCTGTGACAGTGTGTGTTCTTTAGAAGCCAACACAGAATATATTTTCTCGAGATCTTCAGAGGTGGACTGGTAAGTCACTAAAGCACGGTCACTACTAAGGATTGGCTCCTTATCCAATAAAGTATTGTTGTCCATGTTGTTTCCATCAGTACCATTATTGCTTTGGCATTCAGGAATGCTAGTCTGGCATTTGTTTTCAACCATCATGTCCTGGAAATTTCAATCAATATATAGAAAAGTACGTAACTCTGAATTGATGCCCAAGAATAGGGGAGGAAAAAAAAAAACCTAACTGAAAAACAAAGGAATAATCTATCTATGCATATATATAGGACATACATCATGGTCTTTCTCAAAAAGGTGTATCTCTGCAACTTCGGAATCCCAAATTTAGAACATGAATGATTGTTCAAGAGTTTCCAGTCAGAATATCCGTTAGTAATATTGTCCAAGAGGGATGAGCAGTTATTGAAATGGCAGACAAACTATCAAAAGATATAAACATGCAAATGTTCATCAATTCAGATAGAGACAATTGGATTGCAAATCCTGCTAAATGTGAGCCCCAATTTATAGACTGGCAGAAAGATAACTCCATGATTGTGACCACTGATTGAAAACTAAGTGCCTATAAGTAAAAAAAGACTGCTATCAGTGAAAAGCATATGACATTTGCATTGAAGATATAGAATGGTATCTAAAATAACTGCTTTGTACAAATATTACTACTTCAGCGCCACCTATTGACTTCTCATCTAATAATGTTATTTACGCCAGCTAAACTAGGTTGAGCATATTATGCAATAGGCCTCTCCTCCAAGCACGCTGAAAGTATAATTTTCCTCCAATAATTTCTCAAATTCTTTTTTATCCCATTACTTCAACATCCTTTTCATTTCCCCACTCTCCTCCCTCCAATTTCTAACTCTAACACGAAATTTTTCCTTACTCATATTGTTACCTAAACAAATCTAATAAAACATGTATAAATAAAAGAGGATAAGAACCATGTGTCATTGAGCCATGTAGACAATAGTATCGGGTCGTTCAACCATGTGACTGCTTCTTCCATCTACCACACAGCTGTAGTCTCTCCTATCTTGATCAGGAGGATAATGATAGCATGAAAAGATTTGAGGAAGTTTGTGTATGAGGAATTATCAATTATTTCCCCTTTCCTTCCATTTATTTTACATAATAGCCATAGTTCATAATGTCAATTCTAATTACGAAACCTACCTAGACAATCATGTAATCATTCTCTTGAAAAATATTGTGTATCAAATCTTATTAATCATTAAATTCAGGTTTATTTCCCATTGTCTTCTGTTTTCATTGATGAGTGATTAATTAACATTAATTTATGTATCAAGGAAGATTACATAAATACGGTGGTGCGAGTCTTTTATATCATCCATTAATTTCAAGTTTGTTTTTTCCTGATAATTTCTATAAATTTGATCATGAAAAGCTATTGTTCAAAAAGCCAACCAAAAATTCAGTAGGAAAATAACACTCTATATTTTAATAAAGAAGAGAACATACACTCACATTGTAAATATAAGCAAAAGATGAAAAATTATTCAACCAAGAGTATCTGGAATATAGGAAAACACAAAACAATTTTACATTATTCATACAGAGAAGATATATACAATAAATAATAAGTAAAGTTGGTCCACATAATGAACATACAGGGGCATGAGAACAGTTGGCCCATCTAATATTGGAAATTCTATCAAGATTTTCATACTTCAATCGGCTAGTAAATTTCCTGTGGCAACTGACGGTAGAAGCCCATAATATCTGAGGTGGACAATGTCCTATAACTTTAGTAACTTCCCGTTTGTATAAGTAACTATCATCCAAAGTACTCTTTTAATGGGTTAACAAGTCTCCACATGGGTGCGAAGTAATCATAGAATATATCATCAGTGAGTAACTTTCTAGTAATTTTTCATATTTATTAGCATATATCATCAGTTAGTAACTTTATCAAGGTTTTTTTGAACGAAAGTTGAGGTTTGTAAATGTCAAGGTGCTCTAGTAATTTTTCCAAACATATTTGCAACATTTGACATAAATTAATAACTATTTCAACAGATTAGTTTCTATTATAGTGGTAACCCTAGGGACAAGCCACTAAAATTTTAGATAAATACTATAGTATGCTTGAAACCATCTATGCGTTTCACTAACTAATATTCTATCAATTATTAGTAACTTTTCACCTGGCAAAGAAAACAAATCATCAGGAACTTTTGTAGAAGGTTGATAACATTCCTGCAAGTGTAACAAGCCTCCCACTTTTGTACTTGCAATATCGTCAATCACCAATCTAAGTTGGTGATTTACCAATCTATACTTGCATTGGTAGTGATGCTCAACGCATTCTCACTCATGCTTTTAAAGGTCGGTAACTTTTCATTGAGGTTGGGGTTTTTCATTAACTACCAGTCTAAGGGGTTGTTTTTATCTTCGATGAAATGTAAGCAGAAATCCACCAAGCTCGACGGCTCACAATGACACAAGCAAGTTTCTTTCCAAGTGAGCAGGAATTTTCACTATCATAAAATTCTCCAAAAAAATTATCTTTTCACATACACACAATCTATCGCATGGATGAATCTAGCCTAAGCTAGAAATTTAAGCTTCAAGAAAAAGGCCTTTGGAACCGCCCACAAACTATCAACTCTTACAAAACTCAAAAGCATCCAATGAAATAGCTGAAGTGGAATTGTTTTTATAGGTAAGAAACCTCAAGTGGGTAGTGAAGGTCTAACCTCACTGGTGACATCTTGGAGGTTGTTCAGCTTCCTCTTCGTGGAAGATGTCTTTGGTTCAGTACTAGGAATATTATTATATTTTTCTTCAGTTGAAACGGAGACCTCATCTTCTTCCTCCATGTTTACTTGTGCAGCTACAGAGTCACCTTTCAAACTTTCCAGATGATTTGGAGATGCATCCCTGTGATGACGAAAAAAAAGCACATTTTGATAATAAGGAATCCATGAGCTCGTAATAACTGGTTGTAAACAAGGAAAATTAGATAGATCAAATCAACTGTTGCTGCAGTTCTAAAATAGGAAATTTATTAGGCACTCCCGGCCTATGGAGTGGGCCAACGTAGGCCAGCGCACATGATCTAACGGCTCATCAAGTACAAGGATGGAAATGGGATCCTCAATTTCCATTTGGAACGAAAGTAGATGTCCGAATACAAGTTTGTCCTTCAATGAAATTTTTTGCCTAATCTCTTCAAGCTAGCCACGGTGCCGGAGGGCCGTACCGATGCTTGTTACTCTACAATTGCAAGCAGAATCCAGTGGACTGCGCCCTTTGTTTAAATGGCTTGATATTGGGAGCTGGAATATCTTTAATAGCTACTTTGAGATTGAAGTTTCAGCTTGTGTGGGTGAGTGGAAAAACAAAGCCAGAGGGTCACTGATCTCGAATATAACCTTTCTGAACTGTTCTACCATACATTTTCACACAAGTTGCCCCAAGGGACTTGGAATTCGATTCGGAGAGCCAAGATTACTCTAAAAGCTGTCTTCTTCACATGGAAGACTGCTTAGGAGAGTCTTCTAACAACTGACAACTTTCCAAGGAGAGGTCTTCAGCTTGTAGATAGATATTTTCTGGGTGAAACTGCCATCCAAGTTAATTAAGCACATCTTAACTCATTGCCTGGAGTGAGGCAACTATGGAACACTCATGAGGCTCAGGCTTCTACGGTTAGGGAAGAGCTTTGAGATTGGAAAATGGAACTTCTTTCGTAAATAACAAAGAGAGAGATTCTATCCGTCCTGCTATCCCTCCAGTATTTTTCAATCTTATCTGGAGGGTTCTTGAGAGCTTTTGATAATCTAGAGTCTAAGGGAATGCTCATTTTTGAAAAGCAAAAAGCAACCTTTTGCTTTCCCACAAAAATTTAAAATATTATCCAAATTTTCAAGAACTATGAAAAGATTGGATGTGGATCTTCATGCCAACATTTGTATATTGTGAAAGTTTAAGATATTTCAGGCTAAGAAAAATTCAACACTTGTCTGCTGCAAATTTTAGATTAAGCAGAAAAAAGAAAAAGTGCAAGTCTATCTAGACTCTCATAAAAGCAATAGATGGTGAAATGTTTTATGTTTTTGGATTACTAAAAACCACTTTGCAATTGGGATAGAATGGTGGACACTGTGGACTCTTCTCTGTAATTTTTCATATAGGGTCGATCCCCTGTTGGTACATTTCTTATAAAATTTCCTTATTTTCCTTTTTAAGGAAAAGGAATCTAGTATATTCCTCCAAACCCTTGAAAACACTATTACTATACATAGAAGAACTCTCTAATGAGCGAGCGGGTTTTTTCCTTTGTGGTTGGGGCTTGGTTTGGGAGAGCATTTATGACAAAATTATGAAAACGTTACTCATTTAAAGATCTCTAATTATGACATACCTAGAACACCAATCCGACAAAATCCCAGCTGGTGGGGGGGGGGTGGTGTGGGGGTGTAGGGGGGAGCATTTATGACAAAATTATGAAAATGTTACTCATTTGAAGATCATCTAATTATGACATACCTAGAAAACCAATCCGACAAAATCCCAGCATAGGGTAGCAGATGAAAATATTCAGCGACTGGAGTAATTGTCCAATTGTGTGACACCTTCCTGATCAAAGGTCCCTGCAAGCTGATGAAGAACAATGTCATTTTCCTAGTCAAACAAAGCACAGAAGAATACTCACACGCACTATGTAGTGTGACTTAATTAATAATTTTAGGGGTGAAAATAACTCACTCTCTCTCTCATTTCCATGGTGTTTCTCAGTGACAGTGGAAGTTCAATGGGCAATAGCCAATTCTGCTGAGGACAAGCTCAAAGCTTGGTTGGATATACAGCTTTCTAAGGACATCAAATAAAAGAAGAACCAGCAGAAATCCTCCAGCAATTATCAATTAAGTCGGATGGAAAGGCATGGGAAGGTGTTGCGGGGAACATAGTAACATTTGTGGATATTATGGAGCTTGCTTGTGAATGCTTGTTTTTGGGTCTAATTACTATATTTGATCTCCTATGATTATGGAATCCATTATGTATAAAACTATTTTGTAAATGCAGTGGCAGACCCCAGTGCCACATACATGGATGCATAATAACTTTGTCTGACTAGAAAAATTAAAAAAAGGAAAAAGAAAATTGATAGGCGATCTACCCAATTGTTCCATGCATAAAGCATTCAGTAAAACCAGCCAAAATGGAATATTTTAGAAACTTATAATAAGAAAAGCAAGAAGTTTGTATAAAGCAGCAATGGCATCGAGAATGAAGTCCAGTAATATTTTCGCAGACACTCTAACCGAAGTACCCAAAAAACATGCTTAGCAAATGACACGCAACACAAAGTTTGGCATACACCAACCTGTCGATGACATCTTTTATAGGGACCAGAATGGCATCTTTTATAGGGACCTGAATGGCATCTTCACTAGTAGGCTGGGTGTATTGCATTATGTAGAAGCGAGCTGTCGATTTCTCTTTACCCAGAGAATATACAGTGTGGCTTTCTAGTATAGAAAGAGAGGCCTGACTATTGTCTGTTCAGCAATCATAGACCATATTCAAACGTCAATCCCCTCGGCAGGCCAAACAAAACAGAAATAGATAGAAGGTACTAAAACACTGACACCTTCAAGAAATTACACTTATAGTATGTGCAATTCTGGTCAATAGACGAATCAGAATACTTGAAAGAGCTAATGTAAAATTGGACTTGCATTCTCAAAAATAGACCCATCGACAAGTAAAAATTGAATTAATGTAAGTGCTGTGAGCGTAGTCTCTTCAAAATTCAGTTATATATCCAAATGCCAGTCTTTGAAGGTCATCCGCAGAGGACAACCACTTATGAAAGGGGTCTGATACTCATAGGTTCTAAAGACCAATCACATTTCCTACATTTTATCATGGGTCCTTCGTCAAGTAGAATATCTCACATTCTCCAAAACTTACCCTATTGCCAAGACTGCTTCAACAGAGAATATTATATCTCAACTTCTACAACACTCTAACCTCCCACAAGAAACAACTCTGTCAACAGTACGTCAATCCCCTCGGCAGGCCAAACAAAACAGAAATAGATAGAAGGTACTAAAACACTGACAACTTCAAGAAATTACACTTATAGTATGTGCAATTCTAGTCAAAGGTCGAATCAGAGTACTTGAAAGAGCTAATGTAAAATTGGACTCTTAATATTGTATTCTCAAAAATAGACCCATCGACAAGTAAAAATTGGATGTAATGTAAGTGCTGTGAATGTAGTCTCTTCAAATTCAGTTATATATCAAAATGCCAGTCTCTTTGAAGGTCATCCCCAAAGGACACCCACTTATGGAAGCGGTCTGATACTCATTACTCATAGGTTCTAAAGACCAATCACATTTCCTACATTTTATCATGGGTCCTTCGTCAAGTAGAATATCTCACATTCTCCAAAACTTACCCTATTGCCAAGACTGCTTCAACAGAGAATATTATATCTCAACAATTACAACACTATAACCTCCCACAAAAAAACAACTCTGTCATCAGTAAGTAGTTGTATTACTGTCTTTCATCTTCTTACCACCCTAAAAGCATTACATAGTGCCAAAGTTGCTGATACCCTCATCTTACAACTCCATAAGAACCACAAAATCAGGATAGACTCAAGTTGGCAAAAAAATGTAAGCACTAGAAAAGCACTTCAAATCCACTTATAACCTGACTCTCAAACCTATCCTTATACAATAAAGATCAGATAATCCCATTTACAAGCCTCTGCTAGGTATCTTCATGTCCAAATGTATCACTTTCTTGTCTAAAAATGTAGAACCAAAAAGCCAACCGCATCAGACCATTACAGGATCCAATTCAAGCTATTCTTCTAGAGATTAAAGCAAAAATCCAATAACACTTGATTGTGCACTCTGTCCATGTCCAGTTTAAAGTTCACTCCTCCTCCTCTTTATATTCTTATCACGAGTCACAACTTCGTTAGCAATATACAGCCAGGTCTGGTCTCCATAAAACTGCATTGTTAAAAGGAAAAATATTTACACTATTCTTATGTGCAGACTAATAGCCTCTCGCATATGTCATGCACACCTCTCTTTCTTGATAAGATGGGTTTCTGAACCTTCAGCTTGACTAATCTCCGCTGATTAATGTATATCTCTCCATCCAATTAACTAATTGGACAAAATCTTTTTGATCACCTATGACAACTTTCACAAGAATTAGAATGACAGAGGTGTTGCTTATAATTCAGAGCAAATTCTTTTATCGAGTGAAGTTCACCAAAAAATTTTAACGAACTGAACTGGAGCTTTCCCAACTCTCCTTTAGGAAAGCTGTGGAGATCTGAGCATGACGCTGTGGTTGTTATTTTGTTTTGCAATCTCTTGCCCATGAATGGACCTTGATCTTTACACCTGTCAAATTCCAAGGTCAAGCTAAAATCTTCCTGTCACTATTTCCACATGAAGGCAAATGGCTAGTGAGATGCTTTCATCGTCCGTGGAAGTAACTCCAGCCATCACTGTTTAGCTCTATCATCGTGTGAATTTGCTAACTTGGTAATTCAAACTTACGCTTCAACTTTAAATAATGCAAATTCTTCATCAAGAGATACCTATTCTTATTTCCCAGCAAAAGCCCTTCGCAGATTTCTATAGCATCAAAATCCACAATGTCCTAGAAATCCTTGAATTTCCATCATCTTTGTTTTATGAATTAAAGGCAGGAGAGTGGACAAGATTAGATATTGGCTAAGAATATACAGATCGCCAATTTTAACTAAACCAAAACTTTCCAGTTTTATCCATGTCTAACACCAAACCTAATTCATACCTGTGGCTTCCTTGACTGATGAAAATGCAAGCTGCTGCATAGCATCCTCATTAACACCCGAATCATCTCTCAAGGGCTTTTTGGTGATCCTTTTCTTTTTATACTGTTTCAACTCTGGCATGCCTTCTGAACTCTGATCGGAGATATCCACATCCTTTTCAAATAATGACCAAACCCCCTTGCTGAATAGCAACAAGCACTTCTCTTTTCTAGAGTCAACCAAGAAAACGACAACTTCGGAAATTGACCATCCTTCTATGTCCGGAATTTCCTTTGACGCATTCAATCTCATACACAGATCGCATGCATCCATGATAGTCTTTTCCATCAAGGAAAGCTGCTTCTCAGGGTCAACTAATTCAGCATCATCATTTTTTTGCATGAATTTCATGTATTCCAGTAAAGGCGGTTTCAAAACCAGAACTAATTTGCAGAATGACTCAAAACCCAGAAATGCTAGCTGTCTGTGTTGTTTCCGATGGTAGTAGTTGTACAATATGACAACTCCATGCATCTGCAAAAAAACAAAAATTGTTTGATAAATAATTGTACGTTGCTTAGACCTAAATGGTTAAATTATCCAAGAAAAGACGAAGCATAGAAAAGGTAATGCAGAAACAGAAGCCAGAAATCAGCCAAACCCTAGAGCATTAAAGCTAATAAAAAAGCAACAACAATCTCTTAAATTCTCCCCTATTTCTGTCTATCCAAAGATTGACATGATGCAAATGAGAACAAATCTCCAGAATTTTTTCTTCAACTTCGAATTCCCGTGCTACTTCCAACAACAAGCATTTACACAAAGGTTCGCATAAAAAATGATCATACAGCTACATAGATAAGAAGAATTTAGTTAATGCAATGAAAATCACATCAAAACAAAAAATAGTAATCATTGAGAGGATATCTTCCCAAAAAGCACCTGCTTTGCAGCTGATTGTTGCTGAGAATACGATGGAGAGTCGCATACAGAAGATTTAGCTGGAATCAGAGGATCAACCAAGACTTCCAGAAATGTCCTGACAGCATCCTCAGTTGGGCATACACTTAATGAAGCCATTGTTGCGTCCTATGATTTGTGCAGGGGGTCCCCTTCCTTGGTGTAATGTGATCATCAATAAGAATAGTAAATTTGCAAAGCATTTTAACAAGGTTCACGTGATAAGATGAGAACTAGTTACGCACTTAGTGCTTCAGCAGAAGTTTCCTAGTAACATCTTCGTAGGTAAAAGCAAAAAACAGGAAAAATCCAACAAGCCATCCACCAGCGTTAGTTATAAAAGAAGGATTTTGTGAGGGAGTGCCCCGGAACACTTGTTAAACACTCGATGCAGGGAAGTTTGTGATATCCAATGCACCGTCACTCTCGTGCTACGTGTGACCAATGCATTGAAAATCAAAAACCTTTCCTCAGTATACTTAACAAGTGCCCGTTGACAAGACCCAAAACGATTCATATTAGTATTAACCGGCAAGTCAAACAGAAACCCGTAAATTTCTCTAACAAGGGAAAAATCCAAAAAGGAAAAAAAAGAAAAAATCAAGCTTGATCAATTTCCTCGCCCTTTCAGCAAGTAATTTCTCCCGTGACAAATTAAAAACTCCATCAAAAGCAACGATTTTTGCTCGCCAAACCAGTCGCACGTCCTTTCCTTCAACTCTCACCAAAATCCGCCCACTAAAACATAAAACCCTCACCAGAACACCAAAAAACTCAAAATGCCGATGGTAACACAGCAGACGGACACGAACCGGTCGAGCAAGACGACACGACACGTGAGATTTCACAGGAATTTCTAATAATTTCAAGACGATCAAAAGAACGAAGGAGTAGGGGTGCAGCAGCGCGCGCGCTTCTCACGCGCGAACACAGTCGATGTCCACGAGCAAGGCTTACCCGAGAGCGCGCTCCGGTCCAACAGACAACTCTATATGCAGAGGAAGCTCACACACACGCACGCGCGCAGAGGGTAGAGATGGAGACGGCGGACGACGGTTACTCCGGCGAGGACGTTAGGGGCCACGCCAACGTGCAGGGCGCGCGGGTCACCGTCCGGTGCGTCGGAAACCGCTCGCGCTCGAAATGTGCTCGGTCCGACGCGCAAGTTGCTTCCTTTCCCTTCTGCCGCTCGGCGGCTTCGAGGCGCGCGGAAGGTACTGCGATCGACTGGTATCGATGAAGAGAGAGAGGAGAGGGAGAGGGAGAGGGAGCTGTCACGCCATTGTTGATCGTGATCACGCGCGAAGATGGATGCTCCGAGCACTGGTTTTAGAGAGAGAAAGTGAGGCGCAGAAGAGAAGCAAGTAGAGAGAGAGAGAGAGAGAGAGAGAGAGCATTAATGGTGTGAGTAACTGCGACGGGTACCGAAGTAGAAGACGAGCCTCCCCTCCACGTCAGCTCCACGTCAGCTTTCGCTTGGTGGCGCCAATTTAAGCCCGGTCATTTCATTTATAAAAGTATAATATCGAGTAATTTTAATTTGATTTTCAATGACATAAATCTCTCTCCCTCTCTCCTCAACGCGTTGTTGCTTTTTTTTTTTTTATTTATAAGGATAACCAACCAAAAAACAGAGAACAGGAGATTTGAAATAAGAAAAATTAGGTAAAGCGAGAACGGGATGCATGATAAGATGATATCTTGTTGGATATGATAGAGGATTTAAATTGCGAAATCGAATAGTAAAATTGATTTTGTTAGTTAGCCTGATAAGAAAATAATAAAATTGAAAAAAGAGAGAATATTTCGATCAATTAATTGACGAAAAAGTGTCTTCTTTTTAAGGGAAAATGGATAAGTGCATTGTTCTACGGCTTGTCAAATTAATCCAATCTAATTTGATTAATGGAATACGCTAACGTGACCTTTTTTTATTATTATTTTGCCTATCCTACGGGACGATGACATGGCTAAAAGACGTTGTTTCGGCCGATGGGCCAGCCCTTCCCGGTAATCGTGGGGCAGCTATGCCTAGTTTCTCCTTTTCCTTATTTAATTTAGCTTATTTTTTAAATCTAATTTAAATAAAATTCGTAATAAAATTCGATGTTTGTTCAGACGACATCATTTTAGGTTTAAGTTTCGTTATCTAGAAATATTATTGCTACGTAAGAAAAAGAAAATATTTTAAAAAGCCACGTCAGCTTGTTTCATTAGTCAAGTTGAATAGATTTAATGGAAGTACCCGATTACATCAATTTGACAAGTTTTCCGATTTAATTGTACTTTTTGTAAGTTTTAGGACTCAATTGCACTTTTATAACAAATTCTAAAGGGTCTCTTACCTTTGACCTAACGTGCATTATGATCTCCGAACTTTTAATTTATTCAATGTGATATCTAAATTTTACCCAAATATGTAATGTTGTCCCTTACTATTTAAATTATTTAACGTGATCATTGGACTTTTGGTCCTTGGATAATATGAAAATGTTTAATGTAATGGAAGGACGTATAGTTCATGAATCAAATTGAATATGTATCAAAGATCATATTAAATAAACTAAAAATTTAAAAATCATATTATATATTAAGATAAAAATTTTATATTATATAAATTAAAAGTTAAGAATCATGCTAATAATAATGTTAGTGGCTTTGCGAAATTACGAAGAGCACCTGCTCCGGAGGGAACTCACACCTTGCCTCTTTCCCGGCGAAAGAAAAAGAAAAACAAGGAGAAAATGTTCCCCGCCGACGCAAGAAGTGTCGCTCCTCCTCCTCCTCCTCCTCCTCCTTCGTCGGCGTCGACTGCGTTCGGCTTCCGGCGATTCCAGCCCGCCACGATGCGGCGAGCGGCGCGCTTCTCCTCCTCCTCCGGGCGTCGCCCGGAAGCCCCCGGTTCCTCAGGGCCCGAGCCAGGTCGGCTACAACGCCTCCGTCCCCATGTCCCCCATTTTTGCTTCCTCTTCATCCTGTGCAGTTCGAAATCGAAACGGAGCGCGCTAATCTCCGCTGTCGTTGCTCGCCTTCACTGTTTTCTTCTCTCTCTTTAATGGGTCGCAGGTGAAGAAGCTCCAGGTGGACCTTCTCTGCCCCTGGTTCGTGTTTTCACGAGGAGGAAGAAGAAGAAGCGGTCGATGGAGGCGGTACCGGTCGAGCAAAAGCAGCCTAAAGTCGAACCTCTTCTTAGTCGGAAGGTTAACTAAATATCTCTTCTATGTGCTCGTTGAGATTACGTGTGCCGCATTCAGATCATCGTTCTGGGGTTGCTGTGCTTGTAGTGGAAACGTCGTTTTACGGGGGAAAGTTGCTTCCTTTGACATGAAGTAGCTTCCTTTGGACGGTCCCACTTGGACTTTGTCTCTGTTTCTGTTGTTAGAATATCTGTAATACGGTCAGATGCGTGTTCCATATGTCATTGCATCATCTGTGGGGGATTCGTTTACTAAGAGTTGCGTCTTGCATATGTTTGGTCTGGCTCCGTAAGGGTTGGTGTACTCATAAGATTTTATTCAGAGAGTTTATGCGAATGCATCCAGTTTGGAAGAGGGTGCCAAATGCCAGAAGAGAGCCGCTTTTGTCCTTAGATGTTTTAATGAGGAGCGCCCCGAGTTAACCACGTTCCAATTATGAACTACGGGGCTTGGTCTGCTTTACAGATTCAATATGAGTAAAACATCCAAAGTAATTGGAGAAAGCATATTCACTTGAATATGAGGACAAGATCGTGCATTCGTTGAGCTCACCTGGAGGCTAGAGCGCAATGGTGTAAGCAAAGGGTCCATGTTTAGCCCCAGTTAGTGTGATAAGGCCTGTTTATAGCCGTAGTAGGACGCATATTATATGATAGATTTTGTATCATAGTTGATTATATGTCTCATCGTCTTAGCATTTTTGTTTGAAAGATGACTAAATAAGTGATCATTTTAATTTTATGATAACTTGTTAAGCAGCCAAGTGAATTACCTGACATCGAAGAATTTGCATACAAGAATCCCAATGGATCTGCCTTCTCAGGTAAGTCTTGTCCAGGGGAACCGACTTTCTTCACGAAAAGGAGAGCAGTTTGACTTTGTGTGTACACTACCTAGTTGGTCAACGTTTGCTGATGCCGATATTATGTCCCCTTTATTGAGCTAAATGTGTTCCATCAGTTTGGTCCAGTGGTTATCCCATTTGTGCCTACCGGTTTCTGTTTAGTGGGACTATTCCCTTTTCATTTGCTTTCAATATAGATCTATCTGTCCATAATAATTGTTGGTGTATGAATTTGGTCTCAATTCTTTCGGTGATGCCAGGAAAAGCTAAAGTTTTGATAGTGCATCAGTCTTTCATTAAAATTCTTTTGCTGGGAAAAGAAATAGAGAAATTGGTCTGCCAACTTTTACTCACTATTTACCAGAGGGTTATGTATCCGGATGTTATCTTTGGCAACCAAGCTATTGTTGAGTTAGGCATGCACAGACCTATAACTTGGAATATTTTCCAATGTCTCTCTAAGTCGCCCTTTTTTGGAAAAGTTTGAGTCTACAAGTTTTGAAGCTACGTTTTCCTTACGCATCAGCTCTAGCAACTTGTCACCTCACAGGAGTATCCTCACTTTGAACATTGAAATGAGGTTAAAGCAAAATATAGCAATGGTAGTTGAATTCGATTTTTATCAGCTAGGAAAGATATTTCTATTACTCAGACAGGAGAGAAACTCATGATTTTTTGGGGGTTGAGCTACTGTTAAAACATTTTCGGCCGAAAGTAGTTTATTTGAAACAAATGTACCCTTAGCTTCTCCATATTTTCCATTTGAACAATACTAATTCTCAGGTGGATCAAAACTTATGATGTGTTTGGCTGTAAGGGTATCTTTGGTTTGTTACCCAATTTGTTATAGGAAATAGTCCCTTTCATTACTGCTGTTCTTGATTCATGGGGCGTTCTTTTCTCCTTTAATGGGATTTTGCAGGACATTCAAAACGAAACTCAGATGTCACTGTGCAGGTGAATGGAGATGTTTCCCAAGTGAGGCCAAGAGGTAAAAAAGGAACTTAAAGGCATGAAACAGCTTTTATCTTTTGGCTCTTTTTGATGATAGGCATGAAATGAGCTTTGGAATTTTTTTCCTATTGGTGTTATGTTAGTTATAGCAGAAATCCACCAACTTTTTCGTTGACATTTGGATTACCAATCCATTTATTTGTCTAAAATCTTTCGGTGTTTGTTATTTTATAAATATGCTTAGATAGTAGTATGGATCATTTCAATTAATGCATTAATTACTATTCTATATTCTGCTTCTTTTAACTTCCTATCTGCTGGTTTCTGATGAACCAAAGATGAGCAGCATCAAATGCTAACCTAGCAGTTAAGCACGGTGGTCTCAAGAAGATTGGATGGACTGAAGGGGACTTTGATATTGGGCACTTCTCTTCCTGCTTATTTTGATAGATAATGAAACCTTGTTGAAAATAAAACATGGTTAAGTCAAGTATGCCGGAACAGTCCTGCCTAAATTAGTCTCCGCATTTCTGCAGGTTGTAACTCTTGGAAATCTCCTTGAAATACCATATAGCAGCAAATGGATCATTCATGTTCCTCAAACTTTCGTGTTCTCTATTTACTTTCTTCAGCCCATCAGTGAAATATATTTTCCAAACAAGATGATATTGAATCACAAACTTCTAGAATGAAATGCAAGGTGTAATTTGGTACATTCAGATTTATAACCACTGGAGATTCTCCTTTGAGACCTGAGTATGTGGTTTCTGTGTTCTTTTGCTAATAACTGTTCTCAAATTATTGCTATCACATCATGAGGTGACTCATAAGATTGAACGTTTTAAACTGTTCTTGAACTAAAAATTATTGCATAATTGTCTGAATAATGAATTAAACCGGTCACCTCAGTTGGTCACTATCTTGTTTGCACTTTGTGCAACTTGGTACTCTGATAATATTTCATACTTTTATTCCTTCTTATGCTGGAAGAAGCCTGAACTAAGAAAGGTCTGGTATATTTTACAACAATTACATCTTAACTTAGACACATCTTTTCATTTTGGCTCTTTCTCGAAGACATCAACTCCTGAAGAAACTAGGGAGGCATGGCAGCTATGGCTGCCAAAAGAAGAATGGATCCCTATCAATCCTCTTTTGGTAAATACAACTCATTTACACATGCATATGCACCATTATTCATGCATAAGGAAGTTTTATTTGTTTAACTCCAACAGTCTCTGACCCCAAAAAAAAAAAAAAAACTCCAACAGTCTACATCACTTAACCAATATTTCATATTCCTTTTTTGAAGCGGCACTTGGCTCAATAATACCTTGGATTA